TGTAAATAAAATGGCTCCGTCCGTGTTAAATATATACTTTAAAAATTTACAAAACTAAACAGCCTACAGTATTTTTAGTCTTTATTTTACAGTTAAAATAAATGTTTGTCAAATAGAGTTTAATGTTACAACTAATCGTGGATCCCTTTAAAGACACGTCTGTGTTTTATTTAGAGAAATGAACATTTTATCTTGTAGATCTGGTGAGTTGAAGATGGTATGGCCTTACTGATACTGCAATGACAAACAGCCTCAGTTACATTTACGTTACATTTGTAAATGATCCTTTCGGAGTGTAAACATGAAGAAAGTGTAAACAGTTCTTCACATCTTACCATTCACCCCGACAGGATGGAGATGCTGGGAGATCACTCCTCCTTCTTCACCGTAACTTCTCTGTCTACGGCCAGGATGGTCGAGATCTCTCCCTGCATGAAGGCCCAAGGCACAGTGGAGCCGGCGAGTGGGCAGCGCTCCCCACTGGGGCAGTACACCTCCCCTCCGGGACCCTGGCTGCGGATGAAGCCTCGGGTGCAGGGGAAGCAGAACTTGTGGTGTGGGACGGAGGGACACTGGACGAAGTGTGTGTCCTCCAGGCGCTCTCTGCAGAGGGTGCAGCAGAGCAGAGCCCCCTGGGTGCTGCTCGTGCTCTCCCCGCTGATGGAGTTGCTGCCGGCCCCCGCTGCGCTCAAACCCGGCCCCCCCATGGTGGCCTGGGAGGCTGAGGTGGAGGGGCTGCTGCTGCTGCTGCTGGACCGCCCCGCTGCTGARGAGTGAGCTGTGGACATGCTGGGGCTGTCTCTGGCCATCTGACTGGAGCTCAGGCTGTCTGCGACCCCCATGAGGGCCGAGATGGGCGACGGCTGGCTGTGCAGACGTGGGGGGCCCTCCTGAGGAGCAGCCATGCCCGGATGGGATTCTGTGTAGGCGCCTCGGGACCAGGGCTCCCTCGCTGGATGATCGGACCTCCCATCACTTTCTCCGTTCTCTGAGCCGGGGGAGGCTTTGCGACGTCGAGTTGTTCCCTTTGCTGGACCAGAACGCCCGGCCGCTGCCAGGGWCGGCACCGGGTCTGGCTGTGGCAGGACCTCTGGGATTGGGGGCTCTTTAAACATCCTCACGCCATCGTTCAGCAGCTCCGACAGCCCACGCCAGTCTCCGGTGCCTTGCCGCTTCTCGTACTCCACGTATCGCAGCCCAGAGTTCACGGCTTTGCCTGCATCTTTGGCTGAATCACGGAACATCTGCCGGACAAGGTCTGGGAGTCCGGAGAAGATTATTCCAGAACCAGCGGGGTACTCCACAAATACCTTCAGCTCAAACTCTGGAGCTGTGCTGGCGTCGAACGCCAGGACACGACCCAGCAAGCTGTGGTCTTTCCTGAAGCGCACGTTGAAGGGGACAGAGCTGCTGAGAGCAACAAGCACATCCCGGACCGGTTTGGGGTGACTGGGCCAGCCTTCCAACCGGTTGCGGGCCACTTCGCTCAGCTCTGCCATCACTTCACTGTTCCTCCAGATTGCTGGATCTAAACCCACCAGAGCAGAGGTGCCAGCGCCCACACCCAGAGCCACTGCCTGCCTCCTACCTGCCTCAGCCATTATAGGGCCGGCTGAGACCGCGATCGGTGTGGCTCCGGGTCTGGAGCCCGATAAGGGGGCTAAAAGCCCATGAGGAGCCGCGACCAGACCCTGTGCTATTAAAGCGTGGGATATGGTGCCATGAAGACCGGGCACTGCACCGGCAACAGCTCGGCGGGTGTTCGGGCTCTGACGGTTACCCTCGGACAAGGCTACGTCTTCAGGTCTGTGCAAACCGTTGAGGAGCCGGGAAGACACTCCGTATTCCCCCCTGCCCCTGTCCACACGCTCACCGTGCTGCCGCCCCACTTCCATGGCTCCGACCGAGCTGGATTTACCCTGCTGTGGACCCGGAGACCGGCCGTCCAGAACTCCGTGGGTGCTCTTCAGCTGCCGGGCGGTGTCGATGAGGAGCTCGATGCGGTCCGCGCCGTCATAGTTCACACAGCCCCGGCACACCGCTTCGCTGAACTCCCACAGCATGGCCCACGGCATCTTGGGCAGGTCGCAGAGGTAGCACCACTGGCGTCTGGAGGAAGACTGCGAGGCGGAGGACATGTTGTTTACAGGCCCGGGGAGCAAACTTTCTTCGGAGGCCGACACGTTTTCCGTTCGCGTTTCTCGGGAATCCTTCAGTCCTCGGAGGGCGCGCGCCTCATGCCACGAGTTCTTCAACGAAACGGTCCGATTAAAACTGCTTTCAAACGCGAGTATTAACGACAAGCTCTTCAAACTTCTCGAGGGCTTCTTTTTCGATTTGTTCTTGTAGGTCTGTGTGTGGAAGGAAGTAAAATGTTGTAGGACACCGGAAATAGCTACGTGACGTAGGCTCAAAGCATTATGGGTAGTGTAGTTTTTATGTCACTTCCAGTGATATCAGTTCAAATTTGACTATCTGGAAGAAAAAGCAGAGTTGTAAAGTAACTAAGTACAAATATTTTGTTACTGTACTTTAGAAATTTTGGGTATCTGTACTTGAGTAATTATTTTTCAATGTACTTTTTACTTTTACTCCTTACATTTTCTCACAATTATCTGTACTTTCTTCTTCTTACATTTTAAAACAAGGTAAAAAGTAGAAAGTCATTAATCTTATTTTATTTTTGGCTCATTATTGTTAAAAATATCCTGATAAACTGTGCTTCCTGGAAAGACTGAATGTAATTGTAGTTGGATGAAAAGATATAAATATATACCATTCTGACACCAAATTGTACACAATCCATCACAGCTGCCTTTAGGAAAAAATTTTTTTTTAGAAAGTTCACCTCCCAATAAATATCATTTTGGAAAACCTAACCGTTCATTTTTACTCAATACTTTGCATTTTATGTCAGAAACTTATTTTTGGAAAAAAATAATCGGATACTTTGAGACTTTTACTCAAGTAATATTCTTGGAGGAGCTTGTACCAATGTAATTTCATGATAAGATACTTGTACTTTTACTCAAGTAATATTCTTGG